CTTCTATGAAGACATTAGGTAACTATTAAAATCATATCACCGCAGCTTCTTCTTCCTGTATCAGATTAATAAACACTGTGCACCCTATCAGAGTCCTATCAACTCAAAATAAAAGAGAAACTGATGAACAAGGTAATCATAAAGCAGAGTTCTCTTCAGGAGTATCCGAGAGCAATTAGAAGCAAAATAATCAATGCTTTTAAATAAGTAAGGAGAAAAGAATTTGAACAATCAGTATGATTAAAGTGCCAGTGTCAAACCCACACAGGTAAACTGAAAAATTAATATTATGGTAAATATAGCTAACTAAGGAATGATATCCTCTATCCACAGAACAAGTTTAATGTCTCCTGTAGACATATCCAGTCTTTATCTTCCTTGTAAAATCACTAATACAAATACTGATCATAAATGGGCTGTGGTAACGTCAGAAGTGGTAGTGAGCTTATTTAGCCTCTGTCCTTGAGAACCAGAATAAAGCTACCTGTTAACTTTGAGCAGTGTTAAGCAGACATAGGGTAGGCACTACATTTTAGTTTTTAGTTTAAACTGGTTTCTATGCATTCATCTTACTGAAAATCAGCTGTGTGTTTAGATCTGAAAAAATCCTATCTACATTCACACACTTCTAATTCAGTTCAGTGTACTGTGGTTGCTCTGTTTCTCCTAATTAAACAGCCATCACTGTAATGGGAAAGAAATTAATCTTGCTGAAGTATGAATTTAGTACAGCTGGTCCATTGGTGATGGTCTCTAGGGAGCAAAGAGCAGTTCTAGAGGGACAAGATCAACATGCAGAATGTGTGTAGAAGAAATCCAGCAAGGGCTCTCTGGCTACCAGTCTGTCACATTATCTGGAATTTGCCATAGAAATGTGAACTATCTTCTAGGCAATGATAAGCTAGAGAATCATTCTATAAGCAAATCTAAATTCTATCTTTCCATTAATTATCTTTGTTTTTAAAGGGGAAAAATCTCCATTTACTTTACAATCTCCATTTGTTATTTCACACTCAGCTCTGCATTTCTTCTGAAGTCCTACAGCTAATTCTAAATACAGCACTTCAGGTTCTCAGCATTAAGCCTTCTCCAAACCCTTTATCTACCTATCTCTACATATTGATACAGAAAGACAAGGGTTGCCCTTCTGTCTCATGCTGACACTTCAGTTTCATCATACAGGGGATTTTGGCAATGGAATTCTTCTCTGCCCTCTCTGTCAGTCACTTTGTTTCGCACTGGCATTGCCTCCTACCCCATATGCAATGACACAGTTATTTGCATAGGGTTTCCAGAGGTACACTAAGCTAAACTAATAGCTCCCTGAAACTATGAGGAGGTCACGCTTCTGCTTTGTATCTCCTACTAGCTCTGGTACTCAAGAGACCCTCCTTTAAGCTAATTTAATGTGCTAAAATGGCACAGTAAAAAAATGGGTTGGATAGTTTTCTGCTGCTCTACCTAGTGAGTTAAATCTGCTCACAGAAGGGTTTGATAAATATTGACGCTGTTGTCCAGGATGGAGAGAGAGCCAGTGCAAAGCACAGCTGAGCTCAGAGAAGAAGTGCAAAACCTCCCCCCTTCCACAGAAGTAAGCTGGTACCCTCTCCTGATCCCTTCTCGTTTGCATTATTTTTAACCTTATCTGGTTCCCTGATCCAGTTCACAATCCCCAAACAGTTGTGTCAACAACTGAGTGAGTGACAGCCTGAGTGTAGAATTTCTTCCATTCGTTTCTCTCTAAAGGCCACATGTTGTCTGAGCAGTATTTTGCTTCAGACATGTCTATTAGATTCATTTAAATAAGACCATGCGTGGAGGTGTTACCAGGCATGAAAGATGAGATTCTACTGCATTCAGCTTTTATAATAGCTCTGTTAGTCCACTGCATTCTCTGCTCTACCACAACAGGAAAAATAACACCATATATGATGGGCAGCTGTGGTATATTCCACAAACACCATTGTTCTCATATTCATCTTCTTACTTATCAGGTTGAGTCTCCACATAAACTTGAGATAAGCTGGCATTCCTTATTATTCCTAATAAAGTTTCACAACTACTCACTACAGATACAAAAGATTTGCACTAAAGCTGCCAAGACAATTCAGAGTTTATCTCATAATCATTCCAGAACAAGGTAAATCTGATCAACAAGAGAGCATCTAATTTACCAATAAGCTGGCTTCCATACTTGCTTAAGAGCTACTTAGCTTCAGGGATGCATTTCAGAAAAGCACTTTCAACTATCAGAAAGTTATATAGTAATAAGCTGTATTTTGAAAGTAGCAAGATAAGTTTATTACTGTACTTTGGTTGATCATCAAGGCTGTAGAAGAGTAACAGGGGTACGTGCACCTGACTAGGATCTTCTGTGACTAAAAAAGTTCAGAAGAGGATTCTTCAGCCAAAGTACAGCTGAGTTTGGGTGGCAACTTAACCAACATTTAGGAAAATGCCTCAAAGACCCCAGCTATACATTCTGCAAAACCTTTCTCTCCACCAGATTTATCAGCCCTGTGCTCTGGCTAGACAAAGAGGTTCATAACTTCACACTGACATGTATGTAGTTAGCTATTTGAGCCCTGCCTGTGACATTTACTCATCTGTTTTCAAATGCAACAAAGGGTTTCTTTGGTGCCTTTTCACCTCGTTCAGTGTTGGGAGAAATTTCAGATAATCTGGGAAACATCAGACACTTGCATTTCCCATAGAGGGAAACCATGGACCATGGACCCAGCGTATTCATCAGAATCAAGTGCCTCCACTCAGCACTTCCTACACTACCCATCTCCCATCAAGCTGCAACAGGCTGACATAGTGGCAATCAGATTTTTCTTCCTTCAAAAGCAGCAGAAGAGCAGGCAAATGACTTCTCTACAAATATCATTACAGTGAGTTGCTTCATCTCCAAATTGAAAGCAGAGCAAAACTAGATATATACAGAAGAAGCCACCTTCTCTCAAAAATCTCAATGCACTAAAAGATCAGTAGATCTTTTTAATGTAAATTTTTAATTTAAAGTATTCCCACTCAAACATTTATTGCCACAACTGTAAAGATCTCTGTGAGATCCATGTGGATATAGTTTCTGAAAGGAAGAACTAATGGCCTGAGCCTGAGATCGTCAAGCAGAGAGTCAAAGTTTCATCTAGGTTCTATTGCTACATTTCTCCCATTTCATTTTCTCTGAGCTATAAAATATAAGCATATCTGGATCTACAGCTACTCTCAATCAGCCGAAAACTCTGGCCCAGTACCTAAAAGAAACACTGTACAAGGTGATCCTTCGTAATGCAAGGTAAGGACTGGTAATACTGAGTCATTTGGCTGCATACAAATTCTCAAGCAAGTCTGACTGATACAAAAATTACAGGACAAGGCTAGTAAAAAGTCTGAGAAGTAAACTGAAAAAATCGAGAAGTAGCACTGTACGCTGAGTCATCCCCATCTCTGACCGCCCAGCTCAAAGGGCACAGCAACAGCTGAGGTGCAGCTGTCACTCAACACAGTGATCAAAATGCAGATTAATAGCAGACCTTATGTGACACTTACACTTTATCCTTTCAGGGTTTCACCGATTTTAACGCTCATGTATGTGGAATTTCTGAGAAGCTGAGAAAAACATTGGATATTCATTCAAACTGAGAGATATATATATACGGTTACATGCTTCCAGGACCACTTTATCTTTTAGGCTGTGATCCTCCCCATTCCTGTCCTTAACCCATCCCTGCTTTGCCCCCTTCAAAGCAATAAAGCCAGTCCAATAAGCTCCTTTCTGCTTAGTGCTTCTGTGAACTTTTTAGTCAGACCTGCAAACGTTGCTAAATATGACTCTGGACTCACACAAGCCTTTTCCCAGCTAAATTACTGCCATTCACCCAAGCTGAGTTGTTCTTCAGCAGAACTCTAAAACAGCCACAGTAGCCAGCAATCTTAAGAAAACAGCAGCAAACCATTCCTCCAAACAGTGTAAAATTCTCAGTCACAGCCATGCAGCCAAACAAAAGAGCATGACCACAAGGATACAGCTAACAAGAAGCCCAACATCCACCTAATAATTGTAAGGAATGGTATCTAGAAGAAAAGAAGCATGGCTTAGGTGAGGCATCTATACGCCTGAGATAAGGAAGCAAGAAAGCATTTTATACTATTTAGCCCAGACTAGAAAAAGAACATTTCTAAGAGTACACTTGCTATTTTCTACTCTTACATCCTACAGACAGCATCCAGTGGGATGATGGAATTAAAAAGGTGTGCCTGTTGTTCTCCTCTGCTATCTCTGTTCATGATATTCTGGCACTGGCAAGCACTAAGTACAGAGGAAGATGCAGAGGCTGGATATCAAAAAAGTTTAAGAGTTTACAGTTTTTGCCTTCCTGTGATTTAAAAAGAAACCCAGGAGATTTGTTGTTGTCTATCATCAAACTCGATTTTTCACTATATAATACAACATCTGTGGCAACACCAGAGAAAATTCATAGTTGTTCTTACCATAAATATGTTTGTTTTCTTTGGTTTGTGTAGTCACTGAAACAAAACAAGTATATACTAGACCTGTTTATGTAATTGCCATTGAAGGATTAGCAATTACACATGTAAAGATTGTTAAACTTTTTTAGCATAGGCTTGTTTTGCTTTGTCAGAAATTTGCGAAACTCATCAAAATCATTTTGCTCCTGCTTTGACTGGATATAATTATATTTTCACAAGGGCAAAATTTAGATAGACAAAGAGGAAATGAAAATATAAGGGCACTTCAGTGAGGCAATCTGAGCTGGAACGTACATTTTGAATGCAGAAATCTGTAGTCTTTGTACAAGGCTCTCCCCTCAGCCCTGCACAGCCCTTCAAACAGTGAATATCAGCCTGGTGACTGAAGCACAGACGAGACTCAGCTTTTATTCTTGGCTTGGATACAGATTTGTTGAGTGACCTTGATCGACTAGTTTAACCTCTGCATTTCCTTATTTGTAAACAAGAATAATCACCCTTACCTCATCAGCTTAATTCAGGAATACTTGTAAAGAGCCTTGAGTTTCTTGGCTGGATGTTGCTATAGGAACAAGAAGCAAAACTACAATACAACCATGTATGATACTTTTATGATCCCAGTCACCTACAAAATATTTTGAGCTCAAACTTGTGCTTTGGTTCAACTTTCAAATTCAGTCACATACATGAGGTAGATATAGGGAAGATCGAGGAAAGGAGACTCAAACCTACATTCCCCTTAACATGGGTCCAAGTGTACACGTGTACCAAGCACACAGCAGGGTGACCATGCTGCCATCAACGTTTATCCCATCTGCCCTTCTTGCAAGCCAACTGCTAAGCACTTCTTAAGAGAGTTAAGACATCATATATTGCAAAAGCAGATGATAGAAGTTTTAGACAGCCTAAGAGAACCACACACACTTATCAAAATGTATCTAAGTGGGTAACAACATGGCTTCATAGAAATGGGTGAGTAATCAAACCAGTGTTAGGTTTCTCAGCAGTCCAGTTCACATAGGCATAGCATAGGCAGAAACATGGGAGACTTCCCACTCTGGGTCAGTCAGTGGCACAATTCACACTGACAGCAGCCAGTGAAGGTTCAGTGACTAATTGACCAACTCAGAATTAAAGAAGGGAAACTGCAGCAGGTCTGTTACATCTCACATTAGTCTTCTGCCCAACTGGGCCATCTTTTTCCTGCACACATGGAACTTCCATCAATGTCACTGGGAGTGCTGCACATTCAACAGAGACCAGTAAAGCTGAGACCATCACGATCCAAGGAGATACTTCTGCATAGCAGAGGTGCCTGCATGTGCCATTCATGGACCAAAGTCAGTCTGTGCATCACCATGGTACTCCGTCTGTCTCAGAAACAGTCACTAAATAGTTGGAAATGACAGCTAAACAGAGCTACTGCTTCCTGCTGTTCCTCAAAATTTGATACAGTTTGAACTATAAAAAGTTTTAATTAATCCTTGTCAATTAAGATGTACATTTTAATGTCACATTTTCTTTTATATGTTGACGTTTGTGATAAGATTTCTAGAACAAAGTTTGTTTACTGACAGGCTTCCTTTGGGCTCCTTCCCCAGCCACCAATATTGCAAGCAACATTGCAAGTTTGAAAGTGGTAAAATATCTTTGCTCAAAGTCTGCTTTAGGATCTACTAACAGCGATGTGGCTAAATCATCATACGGCTTAATTTATTCACAAAAAAAGCCACTATAGAATTTATAGGGTGAAAGAATGCTTATGTACGAAATAATTTATACAGCAAATCATTTCAACTGATGCAGATTTAGCCACACACTCACAGTTAAGGTGTGCAAGACTGCACCTGCTGCTAAAGTTTAAAAGGACAGCCCATGTCATTGAGTTGTACCACAGTCAGCAAGTGTTCCCTATGGCTGAGAAACAATATCTGAATCAAGATCATCATAAAGTACAAGATTCTGAAGTTAAACCTCATCACATGCCTAGATATTATCCTACCACTGTGAAGAAGTCATATCTTTTTTTAATTATATACAATATTTTCTCACAATATTTATTTTAAATTCTATTTTTTTTAAAAAAAGAACAAATTAATTAAACCTTCATATAAAGCCTTCATAAACATTTTTTTCTACAGTGCTGTAACACTGTGTTTGACCTAATGCTCCTTTTTTCTTAGACCAACAAAACCTTGGCAACAGTTGCTGGACACTGGTATAAACAGCTGGGTTCCCTGTGAACCCAAGGATACACTTTGAAAAAAGGAGTCTACTGTAGACAGTTTTCTTTACGACCCTTATCAAAATCCTCATCCTGAATATCCCACTGACGACAGAGTCCATACACATTAGATGGACTTTATGAAAAAGTATTTTTGGAAGCCCAACTTAGTTTGCCAAAGCAGATCTTGGTATTATTTTGACTGTCTGCCAACACTAGGGTTTGCACAAAATTATGACCTTCAGCACCTTTGCTAAGGAACAGTGCAAACGACATCAGCAGTTAACCTCTGTTGATTAGCACGAGATTTCAGTTGATTTAGCTGGTAAGCTGCTGTGAACTTGGTTAACACAAGTTGGGGTATTGTCCGAAATCTCAGTGCTGTAGAGTAGCATTTTATGAATCAGCAAACACAGAGAAATAAACACACAGATTTGACATGTATAGAAGTCAATGTTCGTCATTTTATATCAGGCAGCATATCTTTGCTTTCTTTTGTGGCTTGAGTTAGACTAACCCACAAGCCTGGATTAAAAAGAACAACAAAAGACTGTTCCTTTGGTTAGATAGTCTTAATTGCTTTTCTCTCACCAAGGGAAAAGCAGAGCAGAAGAGATCTTCCTCACTTGATCCTACAGAGGCAAGGAGAAAAAGAATAAGTGAAAAGAGGCTATAAGCTCTCCTCTTGGGATTTTGCAAATTATTTTTCACATATGAGCAGTTAATGGAAAGACCGATGCCCAGAAATTTTATAGCCTGGCTTCCACTACTTCCCCTCCTGCCTATAAAACCTTCCCATTACCACCACAGAGGTTGTCAGTGACTGACCCTATGCTTTCAGCATGGGAGGGGACTTCCTTTTTTCCATCTTTTCTTTTCCAGTTGTTTCTGACAAAAGTTGGGTATTTGGTCTCTTTGACACTATTAATTAAACCATCAGTCCTGTTTACAGTGTGTCAGCTCTAGGCTAGAATAAAAGCAACAACGGGTTGCTATTAAAGAAAGGCCCTATTAAAATGTTATATGCTAATGGTCTCAGGTTATCTCAGCTTTTACATGTTCTAGAAGGTGGAAATTTTCATCTCTTCCAGCTTTCCCTGCCCTACTGCTGTTTTTCCCTCTTTAGGCTTTCTATGGCCTAGACTCAAGCTTACACTTTTAAATATTTTATATAAGTTGCTCATAAAAGCTACCATATTATCACCTACTCCACTGGCAAAGCTGAGAAAGCCAGCAAAGCTGTGATTATCATCCCTCATGTAGTTAAGATGCAACAGCAGTGCAAATAGCAAAGAAAGAGAATGCTTTAAAGAAAAATATTGTCCATTAAAATTGTACTTAGAGTAAGTCAGGTTCTATAGTACTAGAGAAAAACTGCTGAGAACTGGAGTGTCTCCATGTTCACCAGCAAAGTTACTGTGTCCATTGGGTAAGTGAGGAAGGAAGAGAAAAGGATGGCAGAGATAGGGCAGAGCACAGCAGTCCTCAGGGAGATAGGGAAGCTGAGTGGCACTCCAGTCCTCACAGTGCAAACACCTTTTCTCCTTTGGAAATCCAGGGAGAACATGAGCTATTCCTGCTTCCTGCTCTAAAACTTCTGCTCCTGAGTGGAATGGCACAGCTCTTGGGGTTAGCTCTGGCAAAAGGTCAGTCATCACATAAGCACTGCCAAGCGTTATAATTACTGTGCTCACGTGGTCCCTGTGCCTTATTGCCCAGTTATTTCATAACTGAGTGCTATGTACTGCACCAGATCCAAGCACGCAGCTCTCACTGACTTCTAGGGCTCCCTTTGTGCATAGGTCAGTCGGAATCTACATTTTTCATTACTTTATTTACCTGACCTGTAAATATTTTGGAGGACACAATGGCACTTTGGAACATTTGCGTATTTGCCTTGTCTACACATTGAAGCTGTACTTACATATGTATTTCTTGCAGGACTCATTCATGAGGAAAACCATACAAGTTTACAAGTTAATCATTCTCCTGAATGTCAAAAGCCAGGGCAGATCAGGATGTGCATTGGGTTAGCAGTGCTGCAGACTGGGATGTTTTAGTATTAATAGCAAATTTCCTAGCCTCAGTAAGACTTCTAGTAGTTTTTGTAGCAGGTTAACAACTATCCATGGATATTTGCCATAAGTAATTGCAAAGCACAGAAAAAATAGCATAATTGCTAAGACAAAAAGTGGCTTGCATTTTCAATTCAGTAGAAGGAGTCCAGTGCTTTCTTTTAGCTTTTAGCTTCTAAGTAAAACAGATATCCTGCCCTCATCAGAAACACCAATGATTTCAAGAACATACTGATCAGCACATTTTATATCCCAAATGTTCCAAACCAACATCTAGTAAGATTTTGTTATGGCTGCAAGCTGCAGAATGTGACTGGGTAGCTTACACTACATAAGCTCCAGATGCAGCTACACAATGAGGTCAAAAAGGCAATGTTTAGGTGCATAGAGCAGTGTGGTGAAGTATGCTTTAGCCACTCACCATCTGCTAGACAAAAAAAACCAGCCCTGTGAGCCAGTCTATTGACTGAGATGACTGGCATGCTGACACACATTTCCACCATCCTGGTTTTGGGGACAGCAACATTTGGCAAAGGCAAAGTGAACACCTGAGAAAGAAGTTTTTCTCAGAACACAGACTATTTTTTCATCCATTTTAGGAATATAAAAAACAGTGAGATCCTTACAATAACTCTTCAGAGATAGCCACCTCCGCATCAGTCACTGGTGAAAGCCAAGAGAAAGGAATCACTCTACTGGGCTTATGTTTATTCAGACAGTAGTATTCTTTCATCATTCCACCTCTCTCATTTTCTTTTGGTTATAAATTATGAGATACAAAGCACATGTATGCTACTTCACATTCTGTCTTTCTTGTCTGCTCCTCCGACCACCCCTTCTTCTGTCATCCCCAAATTTTCTTCTTGCGGTTGCTTACAGAGTGCAAGTAGAAAGTAGGTCAGACAAATGGGGACTGTCAGATGACTAGTTTCAATTTATGGACATGCTGTTGTCTCTGCAGAACCATAGCGTTGTTGTTACAAATCCTTAAAAGTTTGTTTTAGCCTGAAAGGCTATTAGACTTACTTCACTGGCAAAGAAGGCAGCTTTCTGCAGGAATTTCATCTGATTAAGTCAACAGAGCTCTGCCTGTAGAGCATAGCTTCCAAATATGAGGCTTCATTTTGTATAATTAATTCTTTACCTCTTCTTGTTCATAATAGAAACATTATTAAATGCCTAAACAACAACCGGGGTTTGTTTTCCTTTTTCCCCCTCACCTTTCCCCACACACTCCAACCCCAAAGTCTCAATCAGTCATTTTAGTTTACAATCATAACCAGCACTGGATACACATGCTTCATGTATTGGTATGCTTCATACAGCCACAAGACAGTGCCCCATCATGCAGTAAGGGGTGTACACCACACTGGGTGGTGCTAATGGCAGGGAAGGGGAGTGGGATTTACAGCTCTTTCAACTCCTCCAGGAAAGCCACCACCCATCAGCTTTCATTGGCAAATAAAATACTCTAACATAGGCATGATTGAAGTTGACAATGGCCCCCCAAACATCAGCAGAGTTTACAACAGTGTTGACAGTTTTAGTGAATTAATAGCAAAGCAAACAGTATCTGCTCCATTAGTCCTGTGGTCTGGTAAGGCTGGAATGACAGTTTTAATACTTTGTTGTCAAATCACCTGTCAGAACAACTGTCTGTTGCCTCTAGACTCCTGCTACATGGTACAGTAAATAACTGTAGGCTGATGCTTTCTTAGATTGTATTATTACATATTACAGCAGCAACCTCACACAATGCTTTAACTCTAGTCACAACAAAACCCTATTCAGATTTATTAGCTTAAATGAAAGGGTTACCACTTCCTCTTGTTCTAAAAAACTGAACAATACAGCAGGGCAGAAGTGCAAAAAAAAGAAAGTTCCGAGTGGCCATAAACATATCAGTGGTGAAATTTTAATGCCACTAAAATCCGTGGCAGTTTTGCTGTGCATTCGGTGAGACCAAAACTTAACTTCATATGTTTGGTTTTGTGTTACTCAGTGAAACAAACAGAAGAGATAGTGGTCATTTTTTCTCCCATCCATACAGAAGCTCCTAAGTGGTGGCAGGCCAACAAATGAAAATATACTATTAGATTGGGATCAGAAGTGGGTAGAAGACAAAGTATAAATTTCTCCAATAATCCGGCCCATTCCCTTTGGAAAAGGTCTCTCAGGAAATGTTTTAACTGACAGGATACAGAGTAGCCTTTAAATTGGATGAAATTTATAGATAATGAAAAACTGGACTCCTTCCCATCTATATTCGACATATTCTAATATAATGTAAAGGCTTACATTTACCACTGTTTATTTCCTATAGATATATTTAAAAGACCTACATTTGAATAAACTGTAAAATCTTACCCTAAGAAATTGTGCATCTCCCTTTTTTGAGAGGACTCTGAAATATCTACAGTGGCTACTACTTAGAATTTCTTACTGTAAAAAAAATATTACTTTAACTACTATGGGTGGGTAGGATCCATCTGTCCTGATAAATCTGTCTAACCAGGTGAAAGTTAAGTGTCCATTCCCACCAGCTGTATAGGGACTCTGTAATGAGGGATGAAGTTCTATGACTTAAATGGGGTAATTCCCCCCTATCATAAAACAGATGCCTAAGAGGAATGACACCTCTTGAGGGCAATTCAGCCCTTATTTTAGAAAATATTTTTAAAGCAAATGTTGTGATGATTAATTTCATTAACTTTTGAAATCAAGTAACTCATGAATCCAAGAAAGGATATGAAAATGAGTGCATTATTACAAGGCCTAAAAAAAAAACCCAGTTCTAAGACTGTTAAGCTGCAACCACTTTCCTTTGCAGCAGCAACTTGTTATTCATAAACTCAAGGTACATGATAGCTTTTGCATTTTACGCTTTATCATGACACCTGAATATTTCTAATTTATTGTAACTGTAAATGTTCAGTGTGAAAGCCTCAACGGTGCTTGTGGGTATTCTAAAAAATTCTTCAGTTATCCCCCAGCACTCAGTTCAGAAAACAGGATTAAGTGCAGAAGTCATCTAGAGATTTTCCAGATTCATAAGGCCATCCTAGACAGTTAGACTATTAGTCGTGTTTTTTCAGCAGCTATTAAGCTTATGGTTGTTAGATTTTCAATACTGCTCATTTAGTGCTTCCTTTCTGAACATAAGTATTTTTACTATTCCAAGGCAAAAAATAGTATATCCAGATCTCTTTAGAAAGTACATCGCTAGTGGCAAGAAATTCAGTGAGTGCCAGAGACTCATAGTTAATAGCTTACTTATTTTGCAGCATCCACCGGTTCTATACACATTCCTCAAAACTTAATTCCAACCTGTTGTTTCTAATCACTAGTGTTAGTGATATTACTTTGCTGACACATTCAAAACTTATTTCAGTCTTCATCTAGTTTTATGCCATTGGAACTTGGACTTCCTTCCATAAAATTTTGGACACAAAAGATCACAAATTATGCCACCTATACTAGGTATTTGAAAGTTATGGTAAAAGACTGCGACCAAGAGAGAAATTCATTCTGCTTGGTGCTACACAGTCTAATAGAGCATGCCTATGTGTCCAGCAAGGCATCACTGTATCATGTGAAGGTACTCACACAGGTAGCCTGCAAGCAGCATAGCACTGAAGCTACGGAATTTGGCAGAGACTGCAAAACCTACCTGAAAAGCAAATTCAAAAAGTTAATCTGTGTTGAATTCTTTCCTGTTGAATCTATACTGATAGGAGTATTTGGCTGATGTTAATTAATATGAGGCTAATTTAAGTATTTCTATGTAAGATAGAGTGATAATGTGACTGCTACGTAAATATCTTTGTAGAAAGATACGGTACTGTCTTGTGGTTGCCAGAATTAAGGAAAGGTAATGACATGAGAAAACAGGGACATGGTGAAGACAGGTGGCTTCCTTAATTTCCTGATAAAAATGGCATCCTTCTACAGATACACACTGTCTGGCATGAACTACAGTGATTGGCTACAGAAACAGATAACCTCTATATTTAGTCTCTATATAGTTCGGAAGAAACATCTGTGGCTGGAACAGCCCATCCTTACTTTCCTTTATAAGCAGTGTCAGCTTCTTATCAACTTCACTTCCCAAATTCACCCTCCCATTTCCTCAATCTAAAAAATGGAACTAAAAGCAACTGAAAAGTTAGCAGAAGCAAGGGTGGCAATAGTGTTAATGATGGATATTTGCCATCTTATCAACTCACTCTAAGAGCGAGCTGAAAGCTACACAGATGAGTTATTTCTCTAAAAGTTCCACTTACTAATCTTTTCTGGTCTCCTCACATATCTGGGCTGCTGATTGCATAAGTCATTTGGAAGATGACATCAGACCTTCAGCATCAGGAAATGGAGGCATTAAGCAGTAGCTGACCACGAGATTCAAATAAATACAAAAGGTCTCTGTAATACTGATGCTGTACACAGTTCTCTGAATTTATTTTTTCCAAACACAATCTTGTGATACATTTAACATTAGTATACAGTGGTTAGTTTTTCAGCTCAAACTGGGAACTGAAAAAGAAAACAAAGATGACAAAACTGTGAATACACAGTCAGTTAAAAAATGCAACTTCTGAGGCTTTGCATCTTGATTTTTGCATCTTCAAAGACATCAAGTCTTTCAACTGACTCAAAAAGTGATAACCAGCTCTTCAGCTGGAATACTTACACCCCATATTTGAAAAACAAACTATGAAAAAGTAAAACTGAAAACATTTTTAAAGGACACATTAAAAGGAATCATTTCAACAATAAGTTCACAAACAACTCAGAAGGTAAAGCGAGTAAAAGAGGACAGGAAAGGATTGGAAAGCCACGTTCAATGTTTCGATTTAACAGTAGGTTGGCTACTTGTGCTGGTTACTTGGTTCTCAAAGGTAGGACAAATGCTTGGACAAGTCCCCTACAGTGAAAATATGGTATTTAATGTCTAAACATGCAGTTCTAAAGTTAAGGTGTAGAAACTAGAGGCTAACTTTCCATACAAGGGAGCTCAAATCTAGGAGTTCATAGCCAGATACACATAGCAAAGTTCTTGAAAGTCTATTATACAATCTGCTTGTAGAAACTCCTCTGTATTGCCACAGTAACTCAGTAGGGTATCAGGGAAGAAAAGGCCTTATTTGGTCATTAAGGTTTCAAATTCGCTTCTATTGCCACAGCCCTAATTCCTACTGACTTCTGCTCAGAACTGGAGCAGATTCAAAACCCCTAAAAATCAGCTGCAATAAGGCTCAGTCATGAATAAAGTAGCTGTGTTTAACTCCCTCTCTGAACTGCTGAAGTAATCTAACACCAGATGACCAAGTTACATAATTTCAAAATAAATACTGGGTACTTTTAAGTTATTTTTTCATTTGAAGACTTCAGTGACAGTAGAAAAGAAGAGAAGCAGGACAGAAGGTAATGATACTGTTAAAATTAACATTTCAAAACAATTAATTTACCCTAAAATCCCAAAACTGCTCTCAATCCATTCTCCACCCAGCCTATATTTGTGCTTAAGATTACCCTGAACCAGGTGCAAGACCTTGCCCTTGGCCTTGTTGAACTTCATGAGGTTCACATAGACCCACCTCTCAGGCCTGTCCAGGTCCCTCTGCATGGCATCCCTTCCCTCCAGCGTGTTGGCTGCACCACACAGCTCAGTGTCATTGCCAAGTTTGCTGAGGGTGCACTCAATCCCACTGTCCATGTCACTGACAAAGATGTTGAACTGCACCAGTCCCAATAACAATCCCTGAGGAAAGTCACTGGTCTCCGCTTGGACACCGAGCTGTTGACCACAAGTCTTTGAGTGTGACCACCCAAAGGAAATAGAAGAAAACACACAAGATGATGGCTTCAAGAAATGAAATTTATTGCTTCAGAAGCCAACCAGGGCACAGTGTGGCTGTTCAAATCCCAGAAAAGGGGATGATCAGCCAGTTGCACCTTCTCCAAAACTACCCACTGTGCATCTGACAGTGTGAGACTACTTCCCTAATATACTCAAAAAACTTTATGCAGGAAGATAGGTTGGAAACTGAAAACTCTACATATGGATGAGTTTGACCCTTTATTCTGGAACAATCATTTGACAACAAAGAACTCCTAACCAGGAAAAATAACAGCCAGTCTAAGCCTATGTGCATTCCTGCTCTGCTACCAATCCCCCTGAGAAAAACATGGGCAAAAAACTGGGAAAGTTAACACCATGCCCCCAAGCGACCTAAGTTCTCTCTTGGCCTGCTGTTACAACAATAAAAAGAAACCTATTACAACCAGCTTTAGTCAGCTATGGTACAGGGTTTTAGAGCTGAAAGAATCATCTCAGTCTTCTTTTTAAATCAATGGAGAAAGCAGGCATTTAACAAGTGATTCATCTGTTTTATTTGAGGCAGTGACACTGGGATTAGAAACATTGTGCTTCAAAATGAAAAAAACCAAGCCCTATAAATGCCCATTTCCCTCCACACACAATAAATGAAGTCCAGACGAAGAACCCTCTATGTTTAGTAAGATGAATCCTACCCAGTAAGCCCATGGCATATGTACACTCCTCTCAGAGACCTTTTGTTATAGCTGTTACAGTTTCCATCATTTCCAGACTATCAGGCAGCCAGAGTGCCTCCACGATGAGCTCTAGATGTACAATGGAATGGCAGATATTCAAGGGTATTCTAGGATTTCTAAGCTATCAGATCCTACTGTATGGACTGCACGGATCTGAAGGGTTCACCTTCCCACGTAGACTACTGTGCCTGGTAAACAGGAAAGAAATAGATCAGAGAACCTCTTTTTTTTCTGCATTGGGAACATAAACTCCATTCCACTGCAGAGTCTTATAACAAACTGAAGGACTGAAAACTGCAAGAATATATGCCACAAATTTCAAAGGAAAAAGAAAAGAATACTAAGCTGTATTCTTGATCAGAAAACCAAAACGTTAGCAACCCAGAATCTACAACACAATATGAAAAATACTCGTCTCTAATTGAAGACCCACATCATCTTCCTCATTCCATTTTATAGCAGCATTGAACATCAGTGGAGAAGATTTGCTATGAATCTTCCTACTCAGAAGCAGCTATAGATGCCAAGGAAAAGCAGTGCCCATATTGCAAGCAAAGTTTGATTTCTGAAAATCCAGTTTTATGTAATTTTTTATTTGATGGAAATTCCCCAAAATTAATTGCTAAAAAAACTTCCCCATATCTGAGTATGCATTCTGCATATTCCGCCATCTCTGACTTCAGCAGTTAGCACAAAACACCTTATTTATCCACCTGAATAGGTCCACAAAGGACATTATAGTTGCAGAGGTTATGTATTATACAACATGTGGCCTTCACCATCAGAACCATTTCAGCAGCAGAAAACCAGGCTTCTCATTAACACTCTTCTCCTCAACACAAGAAAGACATTGATGTGCTGGAGTGAGTTCAGAAGAAGAGTACCAATTTGACTGGGAGATGAAGCACATGATGTACATAGAGAGAATGGAAGAACTGTGTTTGTCCAGATTTTATCAGAGAAGACTCAGAGGACACCTAATTGGATAGGGATTTGAGCAACCTAATCCTTTTGAACCTGCTCTGTGCAAGGGGATGACCTTCCAGAGGTCCCTTTCCACCTAAATAATTTCATGATTCTCTGATGAGAATGCAAAAATGTGGAGAATGCTACATACAGCCTTGAGGAAGCAGTTTCTGTGGCTTTAATGCACAGTTCCATAATTCTTGAAGGATATTCAGTATTCAACATTCAGAAGCAGTCTCACCTAGCTGCATGTCAAACAATGGCATCTTAATATAGTTGGGTCTACACACAGACATCTCAGACTGCCCACAAACCTCATCACCCTTCACAGCAAGGATGGCACAGCTATCTTAAGGAAAAGGAACCATCTTATCTGCAAGACAACAGAATTAGCCAGGCACAAAGCCTATCCACAAAGCAGTGAGGCCACTCTCTATGACCTTTAAAATTCCAGCACTACCCAATGTTTTTCCTGCTGGAGAATTGGCTGGTTTTGTACGCCCCCAGATTCAGCAATAACAACCCTCTAAGAAGTGCAGAATGAATTGCTACCACATTTGGCTTCAAGATGAGTACTGCACAACAATACAGACACAGTTACCAAGATCCTCTTACGTGCTGCATATATTTTGCCAATACAGTGTGAAGCCATGAAGAAATATACTGCCAACAGAAGCAACCAAATGCGAATGCATTCTGCCAAAGGAACTTGCTATCTGCACTATGCCAACAGACTGTTTGCCAGCTAGCTCTCATGCAGATAAGGCCACAGATTTCCACTGTCTTTCAGACTCTCTGTCAGATTCCAGTATCAAATGGATGGATTAACATTCTGCAAGCAACAAGGTGACACTAGTTATCTTCATAACTGTTTTTAGTCACTAGTCAATACTAGTCAGCATGTCAATTTACACTATCATCTGTACTGAACCTTGTAAATACAAGGCTGCAAATATCTGGAACTACTTAATGAGATACTCCATATATGTGGATTTACTTGAGAAGTCTGTGAGGTTTCATATGCTGCTACATATATTACAGGCTTACTATTCCAGCATGTACACCCAGCAGACAGCATCCTGAAGTAGCTTTACAGGCTGTGCATTAGTACAAATCAAAAGGACAGATA